AGCCCTGGGGAAAGGACTTCATCAATACCAGGATTCATTCCAGTAGGAAGATGCCAACTGTCCCCCAGGGGCTCTGGTCAGGGGATGTCCTGCTCCCCTTCCTGAGGTGGACGGGGGTGGCAGTTAACACAGGGTCCTGGCTCCACTACTCGTCACTCAGCCCCCGTGCCTCAGTTTCCCCATCTGTGAAATGGTGACAACAGCAGTGCGTGCTCACAGGGCTCTTGCTGAGAACTGGGTGCGGAGCCCCGGGAAGGCTCCTGGCAGGTATATAATTGTAACCATCTCGGTCAGGAAATAGCGAGTGAAGCTTCCTTCATGGTCCCTCCCACCCCGCCCTCCCATCTTCGGTTTAAATTCAGATTTCTACAGCAGTAAATTAGGGAAACAGCCGCAGAGATCCTCACGTGGGTGTGGAGAAGAGTCAGAGACACTGCGGGAACAGGATGGGACGAAGCCGCCAGCTTACCGTTCGGAATTTGCGGGCATGGTGGGGTCGATGGAGACCATGGCATCGTCTGTGGTCAGCAGAGAGATGGTCGTGTTCCTGGAAGACATGCCAAGTCAGAGCCTTCACCCGTGACGGTCTCACTGGGCGCACTGGGCCTCGCGTGAGAGTGGAGCCGGGAAACACGAGAGCACGAGGACCGGGGCCTGGCCGTCCAGGCCGAAGGGCCGTCCCTCCTACCGGGCGCTCCACGTGTAAGGGAAGTGGAGTGGCGATTAATCCTGAGTGCTTGGTGGACTTTAAAGTAATTTAAATGGGAATTAGAGAGAGAGTGATTGATGGAGCTGGAAGATTAAATAACACTGAGATGAATGGAAATAAAGAGTGTCGGCTGGTGAATGCAGTATGCCTTTCCGCCTCATTCCTTTGGGGGGCCACCTAAACAGCTGATGTGGATAAACTGAGTCTTCCTCCAACCTCTCATCCCGGGGGCCCTCCCGTGAGCGGTGCTGCCTGGACCACACTATGTGAACCGTCTCATCTTCAGTGGTGTGTTTTTAAAATCTGCGCAATGGGGGTGACACTCAAATCCCAGGGTTGTTCTAAGGAATAATATGCATATATTTCTTAGCACAACGCTTACTTAACAAAAGATGCCCCCCTCTGTGGGCTTTTTTGCTGCTACAAACTGCCTGCCCTTTGCTGTAATCTCAACTCCCGAATCCTGTCCCACCGGCCTGTGAATGATTCCCAGGGTCCTTCTCGCTCACCTTCCCTGACCCGGATTCTGGCTTAAGGGCCACGGTCATGCCAGAGCTACTCCTGATCACTCTATAATCGAAACGCTATGGTAGAAAATCCACTTGATCTAATAAACTGCTGATTTGGGAAAGTAATTTTTATGGAATTCTGATGATTCTATAAGGTGGATAACTGGTCTTTTCAATTCATTTCTGAAGTCAGTCTTTCCCCAAATATTGATCTGTGATGACCCGCCTGAGATAGAAAAGGCACCTACCTGCTGGACCATTTGGAGATGGGGGGACCATGGCAACACAGCCACCCTTTCATCCTTTCTCCAAAAGCAAATGAATGAAAAATAAATGAAAGAAAAACTCTTGATGGTACTTTCTGCCTAATTCCGCCCAATGGTTTTCTCTGTGCAGACACCGGGGAGCCTGTGGGCGCCAGCGGGTTGAAACCTCCAGGGCCGAAACCTCCAGGGCTTCATTCACTGACTTGAAAGAGCTTCTGCAGCAAGGGGGGGGCCTACTGGCCCTTCTGCTCCTCTCATCCCTCCTCCTTGGACCCACCCTCCCTGGTGCCTTCCCATCCAGGTGAACTGAAAAGACAGGGAGGCAGAGGCACCCTCAGGCAGGCCCAGGCCGGGCCACTCACCGAGGCAGGCCGGTGGCGATGCAGAAGAGGTCCATGATGTCGCTGGAGTTGCAGTACTTGCTGAAGACCACCTGGAAGACAGAGCAACGGGTGTGAGGAGCGGCAGGAGCCGGGTGACCCGTCTCCCTGCCGATTTCAGAGTCCTTGAGCTTCCTCTCCGGCCCCAACCCGCAGGGTTATTTTAAAAAGAAAGTAACCTTGGGCACTGGAATGTTACACATAATACATGTCATTTAGTGCATTTAGAGAGGTTGTGACAAACTTCATTCCACTGCCACTGAAAGGAGTTAGGAAACAAAGCTTCTGCCCACGTAAACGCCCCAGCAGGTGACATGTTGCCACATCCCATTATCGCGGTGTCTGACTCATGGAAGACAGCCTTGTCTTCATCCTGTCTCGTCGCAGGGGGTCCCCAATGACCTCATGAGGGCCGTTATGTCAAAAATTCTTTTTAAAAGTCTTTAGCTTAAAAAAATTGCCTTTCAGGATTGCAGGGGCTGAGGCCGCGTGAGTAATCAGAGGAAGTCACAGTGAGAAGGGACGCGACGTGAGCCACAGCCCCGGAACACAGCGTCGGGGCGCCCGCCCACCCTGCCAGGGGAGAAGGCGTTGGCATCAGCATCTTTTGCCCAAGGGGTCCCGAGTCCCTCCCTGGGGACTTGGGGTACACTGAAGGCAACGTTCTCCAAGGCTGGACAGCGCCCGGGACAGGCCATGCCGAAGCGCTATTTTCATCACAACAAACGTTTCCCTTCAGCGCTTCCCCGACCCGGGCCGTTTGCTAACCAGCAGGAGCCAGGGCTGGGGAGAGAGGCAGCCTGACCCGGGCGATGTCTCAGTGCCCAGGGCGTCATCGTCCAGCTGGTCAGTCTGCACCTTCCTCTACTGGAAATAAATACAACGAGCAGATATTTCCCCCATCTCACCAGTCCCCTCCCTAAGCGTTAGGTAAAAATCTTCGATGCACAGCACCAACAAAAAAGTGGGGTAGGGGGTTGTTGGTAAAGTGAAATTTGAAAATGAGATGTGGAGGCAGTAAGATTCACGGAAAAATAAAGATTTTGTACCACTGTCCAACTTGAGGCAAATCAGGGCTGGAGTTCATGAGTGAGCTCGGCAGGTCACCTCAAACTCTTTTGTGTGGTTTGATTGGCAGCCCGTGATATTAAAACAAGACCAGAGAAACGAGTGAGAAGGCAGAGGCCTCTCATCCCCGCATATTGATCTTCCCTCGCAGTCAGCGGGGCCTGTGAATGTCAGAGGAACCTTCAGCGGCGGCAACCCTCCCGCCTCCACCGGCACCACAGAATGACTGACACTGGGCATGAACCACAGGCCGAGCCCCGTGCTACGGGATCTCCACAAGGAAACTGAGGCACACGGAGGCACAGGAGGCTCCCACAGGCCCAGCCAATGAGTGGCAGTCAGGGCTGCATCCCGGGCCACCGCTGTCCAGTGCTCACACCTGAACACAACAGCCACAATGCCAGGTCTTTGTGTGTTATTTGACATCTACACTCAAATCAGCCACCTAGGAGTGGTGCTTGTCCCCACAGAGACTCCTTCTATTGCCTTCTCTTTCACCCCTGCCTCCATGGGCAAGACCCTAACCATTTGGAGCCTCAGTTTGCTGTTCTGTAAATGGGTTTGAGCCTATCAGCTCTGCCTGCCTTTCAGAGCCGTGATGAGAAACACGTGAGGGAACACATGTGCAAGGAGTCACTCAGAACACCTGCTGCTTGAACACAAAAGTCAATGTCACACCATCTCAGGTGCCCATGAATCTCATGGTCACTGCTGGTTCCAGTGCCCTGATTCTGGACACAAGTCTTCAGGGGTCTCTGAAGTGCCAAGGGCATCCAGAATGACATCTGGCCACATTTTGTTTGGACCCTAATTCAATCTGCAGAATTTCCAGAGCTTGAGCAAAGAACATCTAACCCGGCTCCTCTGTTTCCTGGGGAGGGAGCTGCCTTTGACTCGGGAAAGTCAGGAACGGAGGCCTGGGCACTCCCCGCCCTGAACTGCACACTCACAGCTGGATGGTCGTCTGCTTGGTTGGGACTGATCAACAGCCAATCAATACGAGGAAGAGAGGCGAGTGTCACTGGAGCACACACAGGTTGGCCAGACTTTCTGGCTCAGCCCAGGGTTGGGACGGGCCTTGGCCCATCTGTGTTGCACAGCTCAGTAGGTGGGGCAGTGCTCTGGTCAGGACTGNCCTTGGCCCATCCGTGTTGCACAGCTCAATGGGTGGGGCACTGCTCTGGTCAGGACTACACCCAGTAGGCTGGGTGGGCACCTTTCTCACAGATGTCCTATAGGCCTGTCTTTACATTGGGGACTTAGGAGTGAGACTCAGGACCGCAGTGTCCTTGCAACAGCTCTCGGTGAGCCCCCTTCCCGCATCCATCGACCGTCCCACCCCCTACACAAACCCAGTCCTCTTGAACTGGCATAAGAACACTTCTGTTTCTTGGTACCAAAGTGCCTCGACCAATACACTTAGGAAAATNCTTGAACTGGCATAAGAACACTTCTGTTTCTTGGTACCAAAGTGCCTCGACCAATAATACACTTAGGAAAACNTAGGAAAATAGGACTGGTAACTGTGGCACAGATGGCCAGAGGGCTGCCAGACTGGATCCAGGTGGCCTCTGGGTTAAAGACACAGGACAGGGCCATTTCTAATAGCTTGGGAGACTTCTCGATTCTGAGTCCAGAGGCCTCTTCCTGAGACACGGCTATTGATAAAGCACCAGAGCTTCTGTGTTTCCCTTTCTCCCCCCCGACACCCCACTCGGGCTCGTTGAGAGGGGGTGCCGGAAGGGGTCCCTTCAGTGCCCGTTTTGCAGTTTCACGCCGTGCTGTTTGGTGCAAGAAGGCGGGACAACGAGGCCCCAGCCTGCTGGCAGGTCCAGGCGATCCCATTTGCCCGGTGCGAGGTTAGGTGAGGTCGGGCAGTGCGGAGCTGCTCGGGGTTGAGCGGGGCTCTGANTGGTGCAAGAAGGCGGGACAACGAGGCCCCAGCCTGCTGGCAGGTCCAGGTGATCCCATTTGCCCAGTGCGAGGTTAGGTGAGGTTAGGTGCGGGGTTGAGCGGGGCTCTGCNGCAGTGCGGAGCTGCTCGGGGTTGAGCGGGGCTCTGAGGGGACTCTGACCAGGAAGTGCAGCTGCGTGAGCTGAGCAGTGAGGGTTTGCACGGGCGTCGAGAAGGGAGAGGACACGGACTGACCAGTGAGCCGGCGGAAGGTTCTGGAGCGGAAACAGGAGTGTGATGATTCGAGCACTGACCAGGAACTAGGACACAGGCGGCGCCCACAGGGACGTGGGGGCGGCGGGGAGGGGGGTCCAGGCTTCAGCAAGACCAACAGAGGCGATGAGTGTTCACCCACAGACTGGGCAGCCCCGCCTGTGCCAGGCCTTTTCCGGAAGGTTCTTCCCCCACTGAGAGGGGCCTGGCATTGGGGCTCCTCACCTTTGGCCTGTGGGGAGAAGCCAGGGCTCATTTCTGTCACCTCCTCGCCCGTCTCGCCATGTGGTTTTCGTGAATGTGAAAGGACCCATTTTCCACTTTGAAGGGACCAGTTCAGCGAGATCCCTCTGGTGACCAGTCCTTCCATTCAGCAGCAGATTCCAGGGCCCGGAGGCTGCCCAGATTGTGCCGTGCACAGGTTTTGTGAAGCTCAGGCTCCAGCCCTGGCACCTGGGAGAGAAGGGTGGTGTGCACCACCCCCGGGGCCTCCCTCACTCCACACCCAGCCCTGGTCTGTGCATTCTGGCCCACGGGACGTGGCAGGCCCAGCACCTGCTTTCGCGCCCACCCAGCACTGACCACAGATGGCCATGGCTGCCACGCCACGTTTCCAGACGAGGCCGTGTTTGTCCGTGTGCCCAGAACCTGGGCAGGTGCTGTGTTCCACTGTTGCCAGATACCAGGTCTGGTTTTTGGAGCATGCACTTAAGGATGTCTGCTCCCTCACATACGTGACTTAAATTCACGTGTGAATTCACCCTCCTGAAAACATTTTAAAAGAAAGCTTTTTAAGAAAAGCTGGTCTGAATGTCCATCATCTGCTCTCCTTTTTCTTCTTGGCTTTGCCTTTTTAGGGTGTTTGGCCAAGGAGCTGTGGGGGGTGCACAGCCCAGAGCTGGGCCTCTGTGGTCCCAGCCTGGCTGCCGGGGGAGGGCAGGCCGCAGGGGGGCTCCGGCTGAGGCGCAGCCCGTGGGGCAGGAATGCGGGAGAAAGCACGGGTGTGGCATCCTCTCATTTGCGCTCCACACACAAAAATGACTTGTCCTTGTCTCTGCCCCATTTACCCTCATCATTTTAGCATCTATTTAGTCCAGATGCTGTTGGCCGTGGCTGCTGAGGGCACTCTTCTGTCTGAGCAATGCGCTGCCAGGGCAGGAGGCGAGCAGAGGGACCTGAACCGCAGGGGAGAAGCCAAGCCCGTCTCCTGAGCCCCAGGCTCGCATATGCTCCCATATGCTCCACACCGGATGCAGGGGGGGGGGTGGGGGCAAAGACCCCCAGGCTAGTTTCCTGTTTCTATTTGAATAGAAATTCCTGGCAGCTGCTGAGGACGTTTCTCGCTGGGCTTGCTTGTCGGGTTCCAGTTTGGATTGGCACGAAGTCAATGACCACCAGAAATTGAGGGTTTCTCACACGGATGTTTGTGGGGCTATGTTACGAAATGCTCCCAACCCAGGGCAGATAGGACAACCGTGCGGCAATTTAGGTTTGGGCTGAGCTTTGCAGGCTGGGAACAGAGACCACCATGATCACAGGGGGGCAGTGCAGTGTGTGGGGCCGGACAGGGACGGGGTGGTCAGAGGAACAGGGGCCCTGGGATCTTCTCTGCGGAGCCAGAGACGAGTTCTCCACCAAGGAGACCATCTCACCATGCTGGTGTGGCGCTAGCTCCCTTTCAAAACCACAGAGAGCATCCGTGTTACCTCTCAAAAACATGGAAAACTGTGCCACGTAAGTCACACTTTGGGGTTGGTTGTTGTTAGACATGTGGTTACGTTCATTGTCTCGCTGGTTGGGTGCACACCAACTGTGCAATTTTCGCCTCAATTGCCTTAGCAACAATTTCCACAGTGCTCCTTTGAAGTTGGAGTGACGGCTCTAGAGCAAAATTTTCCACCTTGTAATTCTTCCACAGCCTCTC